TTTTTTTCCAGTTACATTAGAAGCTTTGAAATTGTATATGCGTTGTGGGTCCTAATGGAATTTTACTTTTAGAAGGGTACTTGAATAAGTTTAAAATTTTGGAAATGCAAGATTCTGTAAAGTAACTGTAATGCAAGTCAAAAGCATGCATAGTTTTGGATCAATAGGTGTGTTCATTGATCAGAGTATAGCAAGAAGACGAATCTTGTTACTTTCTCAATTATTACTCACATTTCCGGAGATGCTGCCAGGGTTAAAGTGAACTTTTGCTTACTTTTACAGTGGTGAGGAACACAGAGGGTGTTTCATTTGAATAGATGGTGTGTTTGTTTGCCGAAATACACACCAATTTGTTGCTATAAATATTTGAAGTTGCAACCTTAAATACTTATAGTAGAACACTATCCTCATAAATTGGTCAATCAAATTCTTTTTTTCCAAGTGCCAAGTGCATATATTTAAGTATTTAACGTTTAATAGAAATAAATTTGTCACATTCCGAAGTGGGATGATAGAGAAGGCTTGTTATAATACTGCAAGCTGACCTTTAACCTATAATCTCTAACCGTTTTTCAATGTATCACTCTTTGGAGACTAGAAGTGTGGCGCTTGAACATGCCATGTTTATGTTATTATATGTGTGTGTGTGTGTGTCTGTAATTTGAACAGAAAAAATAAAGATGAAGCTTTAGAGAATAACGAATATGACTGAGTTTGATTGGTGTTTTCAGGATAAGTGGCGTAATTTGAGTGTGGCAAGTGGCCTAGTTCAGAAAGATAAATCAAAAGCACTGAAGGCAAAGAGTGATGTTCCTGCTACTCCTCTGCCCGTGGTTCAGACCTCTGCTACCCTCACTCCATCGTCACAAGATGCTTCAGTCGACATGGTTATGTTAGATTCTTCTAGGCCCGCACCTGAGGGAAACAATGCTGCCAAGTAAGTATCCTAATTACTGGTTTCATATGAAAAGTAGAAAGTTCCAAGTTGTTTACAGTATGTATTATGCTAGCTGCTTCATTCTTGGTTGCTTGAGCAACGAATTTATTGAAACTTAAAAATCTGAATGGAGATTGTTTGATTAGTATATTCACAGAAAACAACTGCTGGTTTGTTCAGTTTGATACATGCGTTTGTCTGTTGGTTCATTTCGAGTTATTTTTTGAGTTTGTACCTTGTGGTCATGGTTATTATGTGAAACACTATTGTTGAATTTATTTGGTTCATGTGTGCATCTAAAGATAGTTACCTTGCTACGTGGAAATTGCAGCATGGGACATGAGTGATTGGGCCGTAGTGACGGTGATGATGGTTAAAATGCTTGCAGTAATGGATATAAGTTCTGTTATAGGATAAGCTAGTGATATACCTATAATGAATTGCTTCTATTTGGTGGAAAAGCTAGTGGATTAGTAGTGGGCATATGAAAAAATAACATGTTTATGTTATCCTTCTGATCTTATAGTATTTACTTATTTTCTTCTAATCTAAAACGTGGCATAATTGCTTTCATATCAGGTACAATGAGATGATATATGAGGCCTTATCTACTCCTCTAGAGCCAAATGGATCAGATTGTAGCACAATTGCTTCATATATTGAGGTTTGTCTTTTATGTTGTCTTTGCCATTAAATATACTACGTATAAATGTCAATTGGTGGAAGTACTAACCATTTTAAATTTAACTGATTGACTTCCTTTATGGACTGTGGAAAAAGGCCGTTTCTTCAAGCTAGTTTTGCTACTCTTAGATTTGGTCATATTTGTGCATTTTTCTCTGTTGGCCTAATCAGCTATAGTTTATGTCATATCAGTACGGTTCGTTTTCAAGACACGATTGTGCAAAAGATTCATTTATTTTTTTTAAAGGTTCATTGAAGATTACTGGGGTCCCATTTCTCATTCTTTACACAGAACATTGTGCAAAAGATTCATTTATTTTTTTTTTCTAAAGGTTCATTGAAGATTACCGGAGTCCCATTTCTCATTCTTTACACAGAACATGTGCAACATATTAGTCCAGTTTGCAATCCTATAATGAGCCTAATTTTACTCATCAATCACTTTTGCCATCATTTCATTCATAGTATGCTAGTGAAACCCATACGTATCATCTAGCAAATTACATATACTAGAGAATTTATACTAATTAAATAAGAAAAGTGGATTCATTCATGAATTTATCTAGCAACTGGATATGGATTATGAAATGTAATCATATTTTCCTTCATGATATCAGTGAAAATGGCCCACCCACATCTGTAATCACTATATTGCTTGATTCAAAATGATAAGTTGTTCTGTTTTCACCATCTTTTATACAGCGAAGGATGTTGGTGCCCGCAAACTTCAGAAGGTTGTTGAGTTCTAGATTAAGGCGACTTGTGCAACAAGACAAACTTGAAAAGGTGAAGTTTATTGTCATGACTCATGCTTATTAGTGAATCTATGTTGACCTGCCATGCTTTGTATTATACAATTGTTTTCGGTTAAAATTGTTCGTAATCTCAGTGAGTTGCTGCCAAGTTATAATTTTATTATATATAGGTTTAATTCCAAATAAAATGACCACATTTTTCCTTTTTATGCACATAAAACCAAATTTTAAGGAAATAGCAAACAAATATGATCTTTCTTTCCTATTGCAAATTTAATCATGTCCCAGTTTCTGGTGGACATTGCCTACATGTCCGACTAAAAAATACGACATCACATTTATATTGGTGAGTCAGACCAGGACTATATTCTTGTTCGATGCCACATAGGCTGAAAATAGGGAAAAGGAAAGAAGAAAAAGTTGGAAAAAAACTCGGAGGAAGAAAGTTCAGTCGTTCACCTTGATTTTAGTTGCCGTCAAGAGCCCTCCGCTGCTGCTTTCTCCATCCTCTCCAAATTCAACTGCCTCCCACACCAACCCCTCTTTTATATTCTGGAAATTAGTATATATTTTTTTCCCAGTTTTCTCTTTAAAGGAAATGCCATATCAGTTATTTATAAGTTAATGTGATGAAATGCCACATCAGTGAATTTGGTCAGACATGTAGGCAATTTCTGCCGGAAAACTCTAGCAGTCGGTATGATACTGTGCTTGTATATGCTATTACAATAAAGTTTGGCTTTGTTTGTTAGAACAATAGTGATGAATTAATTTTCAACTAAACCCACATATATAAATATGTATGTCGTAATAAGTGAGTACCTTTTCTGCCAAAAAAGCCGAAAAGTATCTCTTTTAAGAGTTTGCAAACAACCATAAGGACTATTTCTTTTCTTTTTTCGTTCTTTTTGCCCCCTTCTCTTGGAAGTGTACTTCTATTTGTGAAGATTGCATCATTATTATATAGAATGAGATTTTTTGTTCTCCGTCTTAAATTGCAAATGAAAGCGAAAACTCAACCAATTCTAATATTGAGCATATTTTTGAATGATAGGTTCAAAACTGCTACAAGATTAAAACAGATGCTCTGCCATCAGACAACAGAAATCTCGCCGGCAGACCGAACTATGTGGTGGGGCCCACGCTCGTTCACAGCACCGGCCATTCGGGAGAAAGTATTGACGAGGCTTCGGTTAGTGCCGCTTACAGAATTGCAGACGCCGAAAACAAATCGTTTGTGGCTGCCGAAGCCGTTAAGGAGGCCGAGAGGGTTTCTAACATGGCTGAAGAAATGGAATGCCTACTCCAGTTTGCTTCATATTGTTTTGATCAAAGTAATTTGACACAAATACTCTCTCTCCTTTTTCTTTTTATTGTGTTTATTATCATTAAAATTGGTATTAATATTATTAATTTCATATTCTTTTGCATTAGCAGGTGCTCATGGGGATATTATCCTAATGGCTTAGGAATTGTTGTTGCTCTTTTGTGAAAGAGACTTGTGTCTTCTTCTGGGAAATATGTGAATAAAAACAGTGTGGTTGGTTTATTTTGGAGACACAAGTACATTTGTGTAAATGGTGCTTGAAGTAGTTGCTAGTTTCTGGTGAAAACTTTTGGTTTTCAAGAGCTGTAAGAGTAAAGCTATTATTTGTTGTGGCTCATGAGAATCTAGTAATGCTGTTGTTATGGTTATACTCATTTTTTTTTAACAGATATACATATTTTCATCATCAAATAGCATATTTTATAAGTAATACTAGTACAAAGCCCGTGCGATGCACAAAGTGCACAATTTTAAGGTCATTTATCTATTCTTATAATTATATAAATGAATAAAAAAATGTACGAAATATATATAGTACGTGACCTGTAATAGGCCAAAATGTGAACACGGGTGATGTACGGGGTGCATAATTTTAAGGTCATTTATTATTACAGAGCCCGTGCGATGCACGGGGTGCATAATTTTCTAGTATGTGTAATAAAAATACATACCGTATGCACGGGACAGAAGCACTAAATGAGTCATTTTCACAGAGCTTGCCCGTTAAGTAGCTCCTGAACACGGGTGCACAATTTGTAGTACATACCATAAAATCAGAACATATATCCATACAATTAGATAATAAATTAGATAATAAATAAAGTCTTTTTTTATTTTAGTAAAGATTTTACGTACTTTGTTTTTTTACTTATCGGATGTTATGAGATTTTTTTTGTTAAACCGATGTTATGGAATATAATACAAATACATTAGAGGATTGAACAAAATCAGCACAAATTTTCATACAATTAGATAATAAAAAAAATTAGATAAGGAAAAGAAGGAATTAGATAAGAAAAGGAAGGAATTAGATAAGGAATTTTGAATTTGATTTTTTTTTTTATAGATAGACTTTACGTACAAATTTTGACTTCACTGTTTACGTGCAAATTTTGACAAATTTTGACTTTACGTACAAATTTTGACTTTACGTACAAATTTTGACAAAATCAATGTTAATATGTAATAAGAAAAATAAATAAAGTCTTTTTATTTTGGTAAAGATTTTATGTCTTTTTTTTTGACTTGTCAGATGTTATGAGATTTTTTTTTTCTTAAACTGATTTTATGGGATATAAGACAAATAAATAAAATAATTAAATAAAATTCTGGATAGAAATAACAATGCTTTAATTACGTTGACTTTCTAATCTACTAAATTTGGTAAATAGGATACCTTATATAATAAATATAGATACAAATAAATAACATGCCAAAATTTTAAAGAATAATTAATGTATTTTAATTTATTATCTAGCCATCAGTAATATCATTTAATGATGTGATCATTATCTCTTAAATGATAAATAAAATATTAATTAAAAAAATATTTGTTTTTATATACTCAAATAAAAATTAAAAAAATACTATCGACAAATATGAATTATAATATATATCAGTAAAATCATTGCAGAAGTTAATAAAATTATTTATGGAAAGAATCATTTTGATCATATTTGAATAGAAAATGTATATATGCAAACAATTAATGCATATAGTAAAAAATTTCTAAATAAAATATGCATTAAATGTGAGTTAACTTTTCTTGCTACTATTTTTGGTAAATAGTATGACTTTTAATATAAGTATAGATTACTTTTTTCTAACTAATTTACATATTTGCATTATCAAATAGCGTATTTTAAAAGTAATATTAATTTTTTAAAACTCTAGATTTAATGGTGTTATGATTTTTTTTTTTTTTTAATTCTAGACTTTATTTGATAGTTTCATAACATTTAAGTCTCGAATTGAGAAAAAAAATCTTTCAAGCCCCGTATTGATAGTTTACCCATCTTTCGGGTATTTAATTTGATAGTAGTATAACATTTAAGTCTCGAATTGAGAAAAAAAATATATCAAGCCCTGCTTTGATAGTTTACCCATCTTTCAAGTCTTGTATTGATAAAACTTTTTTTTTTTTTATTTATTGTTGTTGAATGAATACATAAAACGTTGTACTCAATTTTGTACCCTCCACGTGAATTACTTTTAAAGTACTTCTGTTCAAGATTGTGTCATACACTTCACTAAAACAGTATCTCATCCTCAAGATTCCCCCGTTGCCGCCAAATTCACAGTACTCCGGCGGCGTGGAACGCTGAAAAAAGGGTGGTGGAGAAAAAGCGAATAATGGGTGCAGAGCAAATGGACTGCAGAAACTGGGACGAGGACTCGTACAGGGACGCCATTTGGCAAGAAAGGGAAACCCTCTCGCGGACAGTTTTCCGGACCGTCTTTGCGCCGAACCCTAACCCTAACCCCAATTCCGACCACATCGTCACCGCCTCCAGCGATGGGTGCATCGCCTGTTACTCGATCTCCTCTTGTCTCGTAAACATTTTCACTTTTTTTTTTCTTTTCTTTTCTCTATATTTGATTTACATGTGTTAGCTGAATTGAACCTTTTTTTTTT